CCCCAAAACCCCAAAACCCCAAAACCCCATGTTTGAGTATTTATCGAAATTATGAAATTAAGATTAATTATATAAGATTTACATGCTTTCAGATTTTTTTCTAGTTCTTCTTTTTCCTTTTAATGCTCTAATGAATGCCAAAATCATCAGATGAGTCTTCCTTAAACGAAACTTTTCTTGATTAATCTTTTGAATACAATCCGTTTTAATTAATCTTTTCACTAAAGTTTTTTTAATTTTACTTATATTATAATGGTCTAAAAAGCATTAAAAATTACAATGCTTAATGACTTACGACTTCTGATTACTCGGACCTAAGTTAATGTTTTTCCATGTTGATTAAATCTGATTTTAGTCATCTGATTACTTCTCTTCTTCCTCATCAATAACAGCATTTTACTCCAAATCAGTAATTTTATGTTTAGTAGCAACCATAGTCTCTTATCTATATTGAGGTAAAGGGTGATCTTGTTCTTAATTCTACAGTTTTTATAATTTAAGTAGCTAAGTCGTGAAACTCAGCTGTTTCATTTACTATTTTAATCCGAAGGCTAAAGATGGTTCATTCGCAAAACTACTAGGCGAGTTATGTGATTATGGGCCTTGATAAATATCATAATCCTCACTTCTATTTGATAGATCTTCTGAAGATTCACTTTGAACAGTAAAATTATAATTATTGCCTTCAGTTTAACTTTTCCTTTTATTAATGTGATCTTTATATCTATTTGAGAAGTCAATAATCTGAGTAATGTTAACTGGTTTTCTTCTCATTTACAAAGTCTAAATCTTCTCAATCATTCTCTTTTACCCTAGCTATTTTATCTAAATCTTCTGTATGCTTGACCCTTGGTATTGATCAATAATCACTTATCCCTTTCTAATTTAGCTATCATCATTATGCTAGTTTTAATTTTTATCGCCTTCATCACTGTAATTCTCATCAATCTCAAAGCTATCGTCTTCAAAATCCTTCAAGAATTGAGCATTTTTTCTTTTTACAGGGCTCCTCTATTCTTTGTAGATATTCTTAAGTTTTTTCTATTGTAATTACTGATTTTATTCTATTCCCTCATTAAAAGCTCTGTTAATAAAGTTATGTCTTGTATCTTCGAATTCCGGAAGTATTGCCTTAAGAGCCCCTTTATCTGTTTGATGTAGATTTCTCAAATATTAACCAAATGATAAGTCCTTGCTGGTATTTCCTTATTCAAATTTATTTTCTTCGATATAGAGTTCATTGAAGCTGGAATCCATTTAAAGATTATTGGCATAATGCTGATTGAGCTGCTTTTAGTTGAAAACGGGCTGAAAATCGCTGAGAGTGAATGCAAGAGGATGATATGAATCCATTGATATGTCTTATTTTTTATCATATTCTCTGGAAATAATGTCTTTTTCGCGTTTTTAATTTTCTTAATCTTACTAATTTTAATTCATAGTAATATTTGTTGTTTCACTGTTAATTAATCTCTACTGAGTTTGATTGAGAGTCAAATTCTAAGATAAGTTTAAATCCTCTTTACTCTATTAAAAATCGTGCTGTTAGAGAATCTTAAGCAATTACTAATCTCTTAGAGTCATTTCAGAGTCGTCAGATTCTTCAGGAATAGCACAAAGCCACCTCAAACTAACATTAAAAGGTCTTTCAGTCAGTTTATCAATCCATTTCACAAAAGATTTAGGCGATTTATGAAGTAAATAGTTTTTATGCATTATAAGCAGTTCTCTAATGCAGAGTAAGAAGAAAATAATGTGAGCAATCATAACAACTGCATTTACAATTTTTGTGTAGTCAAATTGGCCTTCATATAAATCTACATATGATGTCTTCAAATGATCCCATCTCTTCTAGTCCTCCAATACATAGAATAAACCAAAAAAAGTTGTTAAAATCTGAGAAATTTAAATCATGCATTCTATAATAACTTACACATATGTTAAAGCACGACTGTTAGAGATCATTAAATTAATCATTCTCATAGGGCTTCAGTTTAATAATAAGTTATTTAAAGATAATCAAGGTCAACCCAGCAAATAGTGTCTTATAAATCAGATCATTAAATACCATAAGTTTATTGTAAATTATCAGAATAGCTTTAAGTGCAGTAAGTAAAAAGAACCTATATTAATTGAATTTAAGCTATAAAGTACCAGTATATCTTGTCATCTTTCAAGCCATTATAGTAGAACCCCCAATACTCAAGCATGTCTTTATATTTGATAATATGCCGACTTTTAAACAGGCGAAAATAAAAATAAGACGGTAGAAATATCACCTATATAAAAATCATAGTTGAATTACTTACCCAAACTAAGATGCAAGGCAATGCTAGACAAATTACCCAAAGCTTATGTTACTCACTCCAACAGACAACATCTATATCCTCAATCAAATATTCTTTTTAATTGTCTAGAGTGACACATCCAAGCATTCCAAAACCCTTCATGCAGATTAGTGGGTAAGTCAAGTAAAATAATATTGAAGCTGACACAATAGTTTTTCTCTTTAGACTCTCAGTAGTATCTTCAAATGTTTTTTCCTATTTCACTGCTTCTTCTTTGATGCCTTAGAAAATTGAATATTTTTTAAGTTTATTGCGCTCTTTCTTTTTTTACTTCTCTTTGAGACAACAACAGCAGAATCTCCAGAAAAAATACATTAATGCCAGAAAGAAAAATGGAACAAAGAGAGATATAATCAACTTGATCAAAGCTAAGGATATCTTGCTCTTGAAATCTAATAAATAAATTACTAATTATGACTTACTTCCTCTAATGTAGCAATCAATTGAAAATATTCTCTCATTTATCTCACCTACAATTGAAACTATGTCAAGGATTGCCTCCAGAGAATTTGGCCAGTTCAAATCGTAAAACTTCAAAATCATTATAAGGTGGAAATAGTCTATGATAATTCTCATTAGAGCTGGTTCGTGATTCTTGTCAGAAGCGGCATTTATCAAAGCTGTTCTTATCAATACAAATATGATGAGAACTGCCAAGATTACCATTCCAAGAATGATAAAAGAATTCTAAACATGATCTGGGCAAGGAGTGCATCTGTGTAATCCTTTCCTCTGATATTTGATATCATTTGAGATTGAATACTCACACTGATGGCATAGATTTCCGGTATATCCTTCTAGGCAAACACTCTCATTTCCTCCTCTAACTAGTTACTCTAAAAAAAACTTACAAGCAAGCATCAGCATAAAAGCATTAATGAATCTGTAAAGAGTCAGGATTGCTTCTCCAAAATCCATAGTTCACATAAATCTGATCTTCTCCAACCGGACATGTTGCATGATTTATACAGACACTGCAATTAAGAGAATTTTCTTTCAAAGAAAAGGTTCCAGGTCCACATTTTTGGCATGTTGAATTCACTATTATTTCTCCCCTTACGCAAAATCTTAATTTCATTGGAATAGTTAGATCTTAAAAATGTAAATTAAATCTATCTTACCTGTTTATTTATGACTTGGGATTGCGTATTTAATAATATTTTGATTGATTGCATTTGAAGTAAAAGTTAGGTAAATAGTTGTGTTCGGCTCTGCTTTTAAAATGAAATCGTCAAAGTAATAAATTCCTCGAGATGCTTTTACTTTCGTGTTTTTGGTGACTGATGCATTCTATTTAGCTGCGATACTTACTGTAGCTAGACTTGAATCATCAGTCATGATTTGCTGATCATAAACATCATAAAGGACAAGGGAAAATGGATTTTCTAACTTCAATCCACTAGGAGTTCTAAAGTAATCTTGAAACAGTTGAGAAATTTTAGTGGGGTCGATAACCATATCCACACCTTGATATTTTATCTTAAGTTGCATTTTAATTGGGTATGCAGCGAAATCTTTCCCATAAGCAGCATCATTAAATTGATAAACATTATTGTTATCTAATGGCAAGAAGAAGTCATATTTCATGAAGCCTCCTATTTTGGCTATGCTGTTTGAAAATGTAGAGTTTATCAGGTTGTAAGAGCAAGTCTTTCCAAATTTATATACTAAATTTAATTAAGATATTAATATTACTATTGGAATCACAAACAGTGTAAAGTGCACCTCCTTATCCCTATAAAATAAGATTAACTTATAAATTACTTGAGTTCCTATAAGTTGACTGTTATTTAATTTGGTATTAGAGATAGTTATGTTAACATTTTCAGAGTAGATGAAGCCTCCTAAATCCTAAGCTCTCATATTTTCTATAGTTGAATTTTCAATAGTTAACTCTACATAGTCTTTAGACGAGATATCATTTGACATGAATAATCCTCCTCCATTGCCTATCATTATCTTTATTTTTAAATCAAGATACCTGAAGAAGCAACTTTTTCCAATCTTGAGTTGTTAATAGTTATCGAACCCTCAATTAAATTTGCTATTAGTCCATCAACAATTTACACCTTATTTGTTGTTAAATTGTAGAAAGTGGTGTTCTATAGCGTTATGTTTGTTTAGATGCCCTTTAAGAACTAAGTCTAAAGATTCTTAACATTTGTACTTTCAATCTAAAATATTATTATTACTTAAGTGGAATCCTTACTATAAAGTATAAATTTTCTTCTGAAAAAATAATTGGGACTTAGTTTTTGTAAGTTTATAGATTCGAAATCTAAGACCCATAAATTTAAAAGTCAGACTTGAGTAAATTCATTATAGGATCTTAGCTTTATAGAGAAGAAATATCAAGCAAGTCCATTCTTTTCAGATTTATAGATGACTCGAAAGTATATAAAAACCTAATTTTTAGTTATTATAAATCTATAATCCTACCTCTATTAGAAACCCTTTATTTCTGAATCAAGGATTTATAGTTTTGCATTTGAAGACTAATAAAATTGCTCGATATCTGGGTATAAACTAGGATCTTTTGAATTATCTAGAATAACTTTCGAGATATCTACATAAGTTTTCATTCGATCATAGCTGTTAAAAGTCGCAGCATAAGAAATACACTACTGCTAAGAAATGCCACTCCATATCTTTGAATCTTTAATTAAAACATATGATCCAATATTCATTGATATCTAATTAAGAGGTCTCTCGTAAATACAAATTGATGTATTTTCCAATATAAATTCACCAAATGTAGAGAGTGAAGTAAAACTAAAATAGTTATTGCAATATCATTTTCTTACTCTAAATCAGAATAAATTATGGTCTCGTTAGATAATTTAAAACTAGCATCCTATATTGTAAATGGAAAAGCTCTAATAGATGCATCTTAGGTAGTTTCAGCTATAAGTATGTAATTTAATAGGAAAGTAACAAATTTATCAGTTTATTTGAAAGTTTATTAAACATTCCTCTTGTATAGATTTACGTTCTCAATGGTTTGGGAAAATAGGATATTCAAATTAACATATTAAGTGTAATCAATCGAGACAAGAGTACAATTTTGAATTGCACTTTAATACTAGCTATCTGATATCAGCAAAAATGAGGAATGATTCATAAAAGGGGATATCAATGTGGAGTTTTCAAAAATAATTTTTGAATCTTAATCTACAATTGCGATTTGATATTCAAATCCGAAATTATGATCAAGAGTTGAACTTTTAACTGTCAAATAACTGTTCTATCGAAGTGAAAAAACTCCTAAGAATTATTAAAATGAATATATCAGTACCTGCAGAAACAGCTGAATTGTAGTTAAATCTTGAGTTACTAATAAATGAATCAGTATTAGTATTATCTAAAATAAGAACTCCTCCATCATTTTAATTGCTATTTTCCTAAAAAAGACTTTCTTTTATTTGCAACTGACCGAATCTTCCAACCATAATCAGAAAGTCTAATCCGTAATTATTTAATATTCTAGTTTTTGAAAGAATTAATATAGACTCTATGTTTATTTGATCACCAATATCAACAGTATTAAATGGTTCAAATAAGATTAGGCAGCCTTCATGATTTTAGATAGTTATGTTTTGTATTAGAAATTTGTCAGTCATCAAGTAAATATTGAAAAGACAGGTCTAAGAGTCTTCAAGAGTATTACTGTTTATTGTGATGTTTTAAAATGTTGGCTTTATTCTTTAAGTTGATATCATTTTAGAGTCAAATATACCTAAATAATTTGATAACTATTAAGTTTTATTACTATCAAGAGAATTCTTTGAGATAGTGCCATTGCTAATTGTTATTTAGAAATAGGAGTCTGATTATTCCAGCTTATTAACCCCTTATAGTTCATCCTGACTTTAAGCATCTTCAATAAAGAACAATGAAACTTTATTATTTTCTATTTCAACTTAAAACCAAAAGTCTAAATTTTATTACCATCAAATTAAAAGTTTGAAAGGCTAAGTGAAGCCTTCTCCCCTGATAATATTTGCAGATCCTCAATAAAAATAAGTTAAGATTGCAAACCTATTATTTAAATATCAAGCAAATGAATACTTACTATTCGTAGAATCATTATCAATAAATTTGAGATTATTTAGGATAAAATTCTTTACATTAAAAAGAAAGAAGATACTTGTCAGATTAAACTTAGTCTTTTGTATATCTAGATTTTCAATATTTGCCTATTAATACCTAAGCATTAATAATTCTTACGATTTATATATTATATAGCTCTATCAGATTATTCCTTGGGAGCTGGCATCCAGGATTTACCATCAATTATTCAAGAAATAAGATTGTCCCCTCATTAATTTCTTTGATAGGATCTCCTTTGATATATATTAGAGGCTAAAATACTGAATCAGAGTATTCTCCTTGCTAGTCTAAAGAAATAATAACCCTTTCTAATTACTTACAGTTCACCACATTTTCTATGAAGATATCAGAAATTTAAATTAAACTTGCTGATTAAATGCTTAGAAGATTATTATTTTATGTACCATTTTTTAAAGTAATGTTCTCAATCTATTAAATTTGTTCAAACTAAAATTAAAGATTTACTTTTATATTTCCTTGTGTGTTCAATTCTAGAAGATAGTTTGAGAATGCAGTGAAAACTCTATCGAAAGTGATATCCTTTACTAGAACACTTTCCCTTTCAGAATTAAACTTAAGATTCAACAATTTTACTTCGGCTTTAAAAGGGATTTATGAAATTAAGATTACTTTTAACATTAGATAAAAATATTCGCTCAAATATAACCTCTCTCTAAGCATTGCTTGTTAATTCTCCGTTGTAACTTATAATAAAACTTACTGATAGTTTATCGAGATTTCTTAGATTAATATCTTATATTTTTACTACTTAGTTTATATTAGTCACGCATCTTTGTTGAAAGTAAAAAAATGGAATTTGCTGCTCATTGTAAAATTCTCCTTGAAAATCTGCTTTTGAAAACTCTACATAACTAGCTTGAGAAACCAGTAGAATAAAAGTAAATTTTGGATCTTCAGCTATCCCAGCATATTTATTATTTCTTAGAACTATCTAAGAATTGACAGATTAATTACAGGGTGCAAATGAAGCATCAAGCCAAATGAAGAAGCTTAGGTGATTAATCTAGATATGTGAATCTGTGATTTCTAAACTTTAGTCAATATAAGTCTCAAATAAGCCTTATCTTAAAAAGATAAAGCAATCTTTAATAGAAATAGAGGATTCTAAATGCTACCCTCTTAATTGAATCATCCCTGTATCATCAGTTTCGTCTGTTTCACTACCATTCTCAATATTAATTTCCTCTAGCAAGTATATTCCTTGAATCAATAATGGTGAATTGTAAAGTACGATTTTTGTTTCTTTTTAGAATTATGTGTTTAGTTCTGTAATTCCAGATAGAATTTCCATTTATTCACTAGCTGATACCATCACACTTTGAATAATTGATAACTCCAATGTTGAAAAATATTTCTACTATTCTTATGGTAATTCTTCTTAAAAATTTGAAGTTGTAAGACCAATTTCACTTAAGAGTTCTTAAGCTGTTTCAATACAACTCTTTGATTTATCATTGGCATCTCAACTTTTTATTAGTAAAACTGGTTTATTTAACTCCTTATTTTAATCTTCCACTCTTTCATATTCCTGCAGCTTTATTTGCTATAAGTTGAAAAACCTGTACTTATAATTTTCATTAAACTTTTATAAAGTTTAACATGTTCCTTTTCTGAGATTTATTACGACCTGATTCCTTTGAGTAATCATATAGAAATTAAATATCTCTCTTATGGCGTAAATTATATCCTTGAAAGGATATTCCTGAGTTCCATATTAATAATATTTTGTAGATTGGGAATCAACAAAATACTCTAGATAATTTCTGCAATATTTTCCACTGAGATTATTTTATTTGTCTCCTAATTAAAGGTTAAAGACAAAGCCTTTATTTGATTAATTATCATCTGAGAGACAAGAGTTCATGCAACTCATATTTTTTATGATTAAAAACAAATTATCTGCGCAAGAAGTACATTGGGTCTCAGATGGACCAAAACATGTTTTGCAAGTTTTATGACAAAAATAACATGTATGATTTACCTTTTAATCTGATTTACTTTCGTTATATGTCTAATATTAAACTATTAATGGAGGCGGAGTAGTAGTTGTTGTGGTAGTTGTAATAGTAGTAGTAGTTGTGGTAGGTTTAGTAGTAACCGGAGTAGCCCCTACTTACTGAATGATTATAGGAATAGGCTATTCTATATTAAGCTAATTAATTTGTCTTTTAACTGATATGCCAAGTGATTGATTGAAGATGTAATTGAAATTTGAGTCATTTACAGGGGGAAATAGTGATCTTGTGCCATTTGCAAATATATACCAAAATTAGTAGGTAGTGACTGTAGCGATATCAATTTTATAGTAAGTATTCCTTTCACATTTATCACATACACTCATGTTACATGAAGCACAACCATCATAGCAGTCTTCACAATTCATGGAATTTCTATGGTGAAATTTTGTCTCTCAGCATCCATAAGGCAAGCATTAAGTATTATTAAAGCATTGATTACAACCATCTGAGCAATTTAAGCATGCGCCTTTTGTATCATCTGAATTTTTCTCAAGATAAGAAGCTAATCCACAATCCCAACAGCCATTTTATGAAGTTACATTGTTATAATAAGGATATAGATATTTACTACACCAATATGGGTTTGGGAAACTCACTGGTGGATCTACTTTGGTTACATTTGGCGTTGTTGATGGATTAGTAGTATTCGTAGAATTTGTAGAATTTTTCTTAATCTCCTCTAGCAGGGCGAGGTATGCCTAATATTTCTCTTCTTAAATACGATAGTGCTCTCTCAATTATTCCCATTATGGAATCTTTGGAGATAAAGGTATGTTGTAATCATCTAATAATTATTAAAAACAAAAGATTAAAGATAGTACCTTCGCATCCAAAGCTTAAGAGATAAATATTAGGATGAAATTAGACTTGTCCTAATGCCTTATTATCACATTACTGATTGAAGAAATTAGCAGTAGTTCTGTTAAGCATTGTGAAATTCTGATAATTTATTGAGTTGTGAAAATTTTAAGTATCCTCGCTTGCCATAGAAAATTATAAAAGCATACAGTTTATAATCAATTAGCCTATAAATTTGGCGTATTTTTCACCCATTATTTAAATTTAACTTATATTTTCAGATTCTCAAATTCGCACCCAAATAAACATAGAGGGGTTTTGGGGTTTTGGGG